GTGCAACTGAACTTCATAGCATCGACCACCACATGATGTCCTGTCACAAATACCTTTATGCATCTGTTTGCAGTCACACGCCCCACTGGAGAGCAGGGCCACTCTGAAGCCCCTAACAACTGTCGCCAGCTTTAGAGTTGGCTTCTGACGGGATTGAAGTAATGGGTGAGAGTAAGGAATAGAGTCTGGGAAGATGGCTCAGTGGTTAGATCGCTCGGTGCCCAAGTGTGAGGACCTGAGCTCAGATCCTGTGGTGAACACAGATCCTGTTGTGAACACACACACACACACACACACACACACACACACACACACACACACGAAAAATGGAAGAGGAAATAAAAAGAATAACTGTAAAGCCGAGTAGTCTGCTTCAGGATTTTCCTGAAGTCTCCAGTTTCTCTGACCTCACTTGGGCTGCCTGGCTCACCTCAGAGGGCTCACCTTGGTGGCCCAGAGGACTCTCCCTGTGCTGCTGACAACCGCCCTGAACAAAGGAGAGCGCCTTAGAAACACGGGTTAAGAAACTCTAGGCTGCCCTCTGGCGGCAGAAGTGAGGGCTCTCAGAGAAACCTGGTCTGGGTGTGGTGCAGGCTGTAATCGCAGCACCTTCCAGGTGGAGTCAGGAAGATCAGACGTCTTCATCACATAGCAACTTCAAGTCCAACCTGAGCTATGTGAGACCGAGTCTCAAAACACAAAATAAAAAAGCTACATGTGGTAGCTGAAGCAGGATTGGCCACAAGTTCAAGGCCAGCCTGGGCTACAAATCAAGAGACTGCCAAAACAAAAAATAAAACTTTAAACCAGGTATTGTGGTGCACACCTTTAATACCAACACTCAGGAGGCAGAGGCAGGTGGGTCTCTGAGTTCAAGGCTAGCCTGGGCTACATAGTATGTTTCAGGCCATGCAGGGCTACCTAGTGAAATCCTGTCTCAAAATAAATAAACAAATAAATGAGCAAGTGGATGCTATATTGTATATTTGCAGGCTCTAGATCCAGCCACTTGGGGGCTGAGTGAGGCTGGACTACCTTTTTTTGTTTGTTTGTTTTGTTTTGTTTTTTTTTTTAGACAGGATCTGTGCAGCCCTGGCTGTCCTGGATCTCGCTCTGTAGACCAGGCTGGCCTCGAACTCACAGAGATCCACCTGCCTCCACCTCGCACTGCCATAGCCTGGTGGCCGGAGTGTCCTTTGATCCTGGGGTTTTGAGACCACCCTGGGCAACAACAACCACAAATAGGAGGAAGCCTGGGGTGGGCCTCAGTGTGCAGAGTGCTCTGGGTTCAAGGCCTAGTACCAGGGATGGTAGTGTGCACACACAGCTGTGACCCCAGCATCCAGGAGGTGGAGGCAGGAGAATCAGGCCTTTGAAGATATCTTAGCTACATGGGGAATTCAAAGACAGCCTGGGGCCAAATGAGACCCTGTCTCAAACAATAAATATCACAAGCATCATAATGGGTGAGGCGTAAGGCGTAGCTCAAGGGTAGCGCACTTAACTATTGTGGCGTGTATGAGGTCCCGAGAACTGTCCCCAGACCTTAAAAAAAAAGGAAGAAAAGAACAACTAGGGACAAAACAGTATCAGTAAGAGAGGCTGAGCTCAGGGCAAAGCAAGTCTGTAGGCAGGAGAATTTGAGGACGGTGCTGGCAGACGCTTGGGGCTCCTCTCTAACTTAACTGGAATACGTCTTATGGCTACCATGATTGATGTGTTTATTTTTTTCCCTAGACACGGAGCTCCTTGAGGGCAGGGAGGGCAGAAACTGCTTCCTGGGTCTGTCACGGCACCCGCACCCCACATGACAGTCTCAGTAAATGCTGAATGTGTGGAAACAGGAAGAAATGAGTGGTTAGAGTTCCCTGCCTGAGATCTCCAAGGCAGGATGACACCATCTCTCCTCACCGGTCGAGGAGGACGCTCTCCTGCCTGGAGTCTGTACCGATGCTTCCTCAGGTGCCCCGCTCCCATTAGGAGATTACCCCGTGAACCCATGGAGCTCTTTTCTGTCCTTGGCCAAGCGTTTATTGACTCTCATGCACACCTCGCTATTGTTATGCAAACCTGCCGTTCCGGGCCATCATTTAATTCCATGACTCCCTGTTGACACAAGAGTCCCTGCACCCACCGCACGCACTCACTGGCGAGAGACAAGGAAACAGGGAGGAAGTGACAGAGACGGCACAATGGCTCTCCCTGTGTGAAGGACTCCTAACCACCCAGTCTCCTCCCAGCCAGTAAAACCTACCATGTGTCAATGCAAATGCAGCCTATTAATAGGAACTGAAACCCCCAGTGACCTCATCCACTCATCCACCGTCCACCTGCTGCATCCAGCTGAGAATGGGTTGGAGCCAGGCAACCCTGCGGGGCCTTGCCTTCCACACTGGTGTGTCGTGGGCAGGTGAGCTATCTCTCATTGCTCAATGTAGTTGTCTTGTTCCCCCCACACGCTACTTCCCTCCCTCCCTTTCTCCCTTCCTTCCTACTTTCCTTCCTTCCTCTCTCCCTCCCTTTCTCCCTTCCTTCCTTCTTCCCTCCCTCCCTCCCTCCCTCCCTCCCTCCCTCCCTTCCTTCCTTCCTTCCTTCCTTCCTTCCTCCCTCCCTCCCTCCCTCCCTCCCTCCCTCCCTCCCTTCCTTCCTTCCTTCCTTCCTTCCTTCCTTCCTTCCTTCCTCCCTCTCTTCCTTCCTTCCTCTCCCCCTTCCTTCCTGCCTTCCTTTTCCTTGAGACAGGATCTCACCACACCGCCCAGGCTGGAATCAAACCTTCATTCCTCCTCCCTCGGGCTCCCAAACGGCTACAGACAGGCACCACCTACACCTGGCTTCAGTATCCTAACCTCTGAAATGGGGCTAAGAACTTGCTTTGTTGAACAACTCTTGGCTAAGTATTACGGAACAGAAAAAGGATACAAAGCCAGAAAGCTCCAGCCTGCCTCAGGAACCCCATTCTTTTTTGTTGTTGTTTTGTTTTGTTTTTCAAGATAGGGTTTTTCTGTGTAAAATTCCTGGCTGGCTGGCCTGGAACTCATTTTGTAGACTGGGCTGGAATGGAACTCACAGAGATCCGCCTGCCTCTGCCTCCCGAGTGCTGGATTAAAGGCGTGCGCCACCACTGCCCGGCTTCAAAACCCGTACTAAGTAGAGAAGGAAAGACATAGAAACCAGCAATACAGCATCAAGGTCAGAGACATCAAGAGCCCTCGCTCCTTAACTAGGTCACACCGGGCCTGCAGGACTGTTCCATTCCTTTAGTCCCCCTCCCTTATAAGAGGTTAGCATTGGTTTTTATTTCCCCAGTGGGCTGAGAATGCCCCTCAGTGAAAAAATCTCCCCTGGAAAGTCTGAGGGGCAGGAAAGGTTGACACACTGTAATCTCAGTATTTGTAAAACCTGGAGTTCCAGGACAGCCTGGGCTACAGGAACCCTTGCTTTAAAAATTTAATCTAAAGGAAAAAAAAGTTTGAGGAGGAGGCTAGGAATGTAACTCCGATGGTAGATATGTGCTGTGAATATCGCTCTATATAAATAAAACACTGATGGCCAGTGACCAGACAGGAAGTATAGGCAGGATAAGGAGAGAGGAGAATTGGGGAAACAGGAAGAAGGAGGGAGAGACACTGCAGCCACCGCCAGGACAAGCAGCATGTAAAGACGCCGGTAAGCCACCAGCCACGTGGCAAGGTATAGATTTATGGAAATGGAGAAGCCCTCCAGTAACAGGCCCAGACTTGCTCCAGGTCCTGCCGTGACTGTGACTCCCCTGAACCCACGGTGTTCCTGCCAGGACGTGGCTTTGGCACTCACACAGGCGGTGGGTTGTGGGCATCATTGCTGTCAGTTAATAGTCCTGTCCCTCCTGGCTCCACGTTCCTGCTGCTGGAATCAGGGTTATAATCCTGTTTGTTTTAAATTTTTTTTTAAGACAGGGTTTCTTTCTCTGTCTGTTCTAGAACTCACTCTGTAGACCAAGCTAGCCTCAAATTCAGAGATCTGCCTGATTCTGCCCCCCTCCCCCCCCCCCCCCGAGACAGGGTTTCTCTGTGTAGTTTTGGTGCCTGTCCTGGATCTCCCTCTGTAGACCAGGCTGGCCTCGAACTCACAGATACCCCCCCAGTGCTGGGATTAAAGGCCTGTGCCACCACTGCCTGGCTCATCCTACTTTCTTACACAATCCAGAACCACCTGCCCAGAGTGGCAAAGTCCACAGTGGACTGAGCCCTCCCACAACAATCATTAATCAAGAAAATGGGCCCGGGCAGTGGGGGCGCATGCCTTTAATCCCAGTACTTGGGAGGTAGAGGCAAGCGGATCTCTATGAGTTCTAGGCCAGCCTGGTCTACAAAGTGAGTTCCAGGACAGTCAGGGAAACCCTGGCTCTGAGGCGGGGGGGGGGGGGGGGGGAGGAAGACGAAGAAGAAGCAACCTAGATTCAGAAGTACAGAAGAAAAAGCAGCTTTTATTTTCCTGTTGGAAGCACCATCCTGGTCAACTGTCATTTCCCAGATAAGGCCACCAGGAGGCAGTAGGGAGCACAGTGCTCAGGCCCTCCCTGGAGGTTGAGGTCTAGACGCCTGGAAAGAGGAGCAGGAACAGGCTGGATGAGGTAGGAGTGTGCTTTACTTTACTCTGACCAAGAAAGGTAGAGGGGCTGAACATGGACCTCAGGGTGAAGGGGGTGGGGGTGGGGGCTGAACATGGACCTCAAGGTGAAGG